TTTTTGGTGGCAGTGTTCATAAATGCATGACAGAGGCATAGATTGATGGCTGAAAAATATCTCTTTAGGCAGAGATTTGTAGCTCCCAGAAGAATAAAATAATCTGAGTTTTCTAAGTTTCTTCAAAAATCTGAGTATCTGTACAAGGAAAAGATCATTCTTTAATTTAACCTCCAAAAAGTGTTCTCTGCAGACAGTAGGAAAGTGGTTATTAATATTTAATCTGCCAATTGAGCAGTAATCCTGTCTAGGAAGTCCTTGGTTAATTTTAAAAGAATTTGAGGGTGGTTTATATAAATCTCTTAAAATCATACCCTTAACCAGAATAGGTTCCTTTGAAAGCAAAACTTATTTGCTGTCTCTGTTAGGCACATTTCTGTGGAATGGCAAGAAGAGGATTGGTTTCTTGTTTCTAGGCACAACTAGTAAATACTGCAGTTTGCCAGTAAATTGTTTCTTCTTTCTCAGGACTCTTATTTTCTGTTTGCCATGTGTCTGCCCTTTTTTCAGGTGGAAAGAGGCTTTTGAAACAATCTGTTGTTTGAATTATTGTTTCTAACATGCTGTTGTAGTGATACAACTCCCTTACAAAAGTCTCTTTTTCAATCACTGTAACCTCCTTTTACTGTTACAATTATGATTTTGTCAAAAGATGACATTACCACTCTGTCTTTATAAAAATCTGAGTGACTCTGGAGGATCAGATCCCATAAATGTGTTCTGAAGTCAGTAAAAGCATCTACGTAATGGTGTACCTACAAAACCAGTTTCATTTGAGACATAGCCTGCTTTTCGACGTTCTGGCTCTCTTGCAGCAGAGTCCAAATTCATCTTTTTGTAGAATTACCGAGCTGTACATGCAACAGCATCTTGCTGGCTGTTGTATATGGTGTATCCCATAATAAACGTTTTCGAGACTGGTATTCGGTGGACCTATCTCCTATGAATGTTTTTTGTCTTCAAAGCAAGATCAGTCATCTGGCATTCATAGTGTAACTAAAAAGTCCACACTAAAATCATTTGTTCTCTGGTGGACAAATTGCAAGATCTTTATATGATATGCCATCAAGCTCCAAGTGCTTCCTTTGGCAAACTGCTATCAGAAACAGAAATTTCAGCTATGGAAATCCACCGCATGCCTTTTTCACAATTACTGATTCAATGCTTGGACAAGCTTGTTATTTTCACTCTTCTTGAGATTAATCTGCCTCTGTCGTGGGTTCTTTAAGGGTTGGGGTGGGGGTTTTTGCAAGTATTTTTGCCATTTCTCTATTATCGTTAGCGCCAGATGTTCCAGTCAGTGTTTGAAACTTCCCTCTCCTCTTAAAGACAAAGTTGTTGGTTGTTTTTAAAATAAAAACCTATCTATACCTGCAGCTATTCTTCAGCATTTCCAGCTTTCACTACACAAATGCTATCTGGCATAACTGTATAGCTAATCTTGTTTTTCAGATCAGGAGTTCACATTGCTTGTACTTCATGAGCCAAAGTGACATCCTCTGTTAAGTTTTTAGCTGGCAGAGACATCTATCTTCTCCTGTCTCTCCAAAGCTTCTGCATGCACAACTGCTCCCAATAGTAAAGACGTTCTATCTATAGTATATCATGCTACCAGTTCTGACAGTAACAGAAATCTCCATGTTGTTATAAGATCTTTTGGTATATCATCCTTATAAAACTTAATATTGTATACAAGAGCTGTGGGGTTTCTCACTTGCATGTAATGTGCAGTTATCTGCTAACATGGTATCATGAAGTCTGCTGCTTTTTGGTAGAGAAGAGTTATGAGCTGTATGCCAGGGTAATGCTCAGTATGCATTTGGAAAAGACCGGTTGACTAGTTAGTGTAATAAAGTCAAAAGATTCTTGGTGAGTTATAACACCATATTCTTTGTACACTGTTTGAGGGAGGCAGACGGGGCAGGACAGACATGCATTCGTGTTTATCAAAGTAACTTAGTCTTCTCAAAATATGATTTGTTATCTCAGAACTTTAGATGATGGAATCAACTGTGTCTTAGTCTCCTGTGTTCGACAGAGATTCTGGTCTCAGTATTGTATTCTTAAGTTACTTCTGCATTAATTCATGAATCTAGTGAAATCAACTCTTTTACAGTTTCTATCTTAATGAAATTTTATCTTAGGATAAATTTTATCTTATCTTACGGATATAGAAACATTTTATGTTGTAATGCATTCTGGTTTTAGGCCTTTAACTTCCATAATTTTTTTGGGTTTCCTCAGAACTAGATAGTCTGTAACAAAATCTGTACCTTTCTCCCTGAAGCACAGCAAATTGGGACAGTGAAATATTCCACAATTAACATTCTGCCCTGAGGAAACAAGTTGTTGTTCTTCTTTTGGACGTAGCTAGTTTTGATCTTTACTGGTATTTGTCTACAGACTTTTACAAAGCTAAAATGTCAATGGGCATTTGATTCTCCTTCATGAAATACTTAATTGATGTATCCATTTACGTGTAGATGTAGTGCTTGGGGACATGGTTTAGTGGTAGTCTTGGCAGTGTTAGGTTTGCGGTTAGTCTCTATGATCTTAAAGGTCTTTTTCAGCCTAAATGATTCTATGATTCTATATATTTGAATTCAGAAGTCTCAGAAGCCCAGTTTCCCTTATGTGGAAGCAGGTTGGTCTGCCACATCATGGTCACCTTGCGGTTTAGACATCCATTTGTTGTCAAACTCACATAGAGCTCACTGGTCAGTAATTCTTTCATCCTCTTGCCTTCTGAAACTTATATGTCTGTGCTTTCCTGGGTAGAGTTTTTAGGATTTAAAGGTGGACTGGCAACTTGTGAGTTAGAGCAGGATGCTTCATGGAGGCCTTGACTGTCCCATTCTGAGTGGATAAAGCCTTAAGTAGTCCAGTCTGATTCCGTAACTGATCCTGCTTTGAGCAGGAGGTTGAACTAGAGACATCCTGAGGTCTCTTTGCACCTGAACAATGCTGTGATTCTTGATTCTATGATCTTAAGTTAATGAACAATTTTATATAAAAAATTTGTAGGTTGATTCTGGATTAGTAAGAGGTCTCAGAGGGACTTCTACACTGCCTGTGATCAGGCTTTCGCTGCGTTTGTCATGCTGCAGTTTTCTTACCTGTCAAGAGAGGTTTACTTTACCTGAGTCATTTTGAGGTTTTAATAGCTATTAATTGGTCAATTTGATAAATGCTTTGTAAACACTAAGGAATTTGTGATTGCTAATGAAATGTCTTTTCTCTCCTCTTTTAGTATAATATTTGCATCTCCTTTTCTTGTATTACAGGTTCATGACACTATAAGAAACTAGACAGTACTACTGCCTAATCAGGTGTCAGAATCTTATAGTGCAAATACCAAATGCAACATGTGAGCTGACTTTGAATGACAAGCAGAAGAAGTGGGACCTGTGGCATCTTGAGAGGGACATCTGTGCCTAGGTTGATGCCAGTTTAACATAGGAGCACTTCCCAGCTTCTGGGCCTGTGCATATACCTTTGCTGTGGTTCGAATTTATTGTCTGGGCATGAGTTAACTGAGCCCTAGGAAATTTGGAGGGAGTTTGGGTTCAAAGGAATTACAGCCCTGTAGGCTGGACAGGGATGTTGATGATTGTAGGGAGACAGGGACTTTGTTTTGCGTATCTCGGCAGGAACTTTAGATGCAGTTTGAAAGATTTGGGGTTACCAGATGCTGAACTCAGTAAGAGAAGAGAGCGGCTTCTACATGACGTAGTGGTGGTAAGGCAACTGACTGCACCTCACTTTTTAGCCAGCATCTGCTTGTTCCCTCTGGTTTTCTGAGAGTGTGATGACTCTCTGATTAAGATGAGAAAACTACAGTCTTGTAAATTGTACTGAAAACTTTACTTGTCCTGATATAATCAGTTTCTTAGAGTTAGTATTGGTTTATTAGTTACATTAGCATAGTTCCTCCTCTTAGAGAGCACTTCTCAAACTTGTGGAGATCATGATTTAAGTCCTATACATATTCTTGGAGTTCTTTTTTATATTAACAATATTTTAATACCATTTTTAAGACTCAATATAAAAATAAAATATGTATAACACTGTAGATACAGCAGCATGGCTGTTGTTTTAGAACAGGTTTGTTCCTAACTGTTCTTGTATCTGGGGTGGTGTCTTTTAGAATCTGATATCTTGTTGTACTTTGATCTCTTTAGGAAACTAATCATATTTGATTTTAAACTGCATTTGCTTTGCAACTTAGTTGCTGTTGAATTTCTGCTGTATGTAAACAAGCAAGGAATTTTAAAAGTTTTTAGCAAATCCATAAAAGCAGTGCTTGGTGGCTGATGTGCACAACTAATTCTTGTGGGTCAGCAAGACTTTTTGTTTCTTGATGTAGTTTGCTACAGTAGGTGGTGGAAACATCTATTAAAAAGACTTGAGAATGTTTTGTCTAGCAAATATTAATAATTTTATACTGCTTTGTTCATTATACTTTCTAAAGAGCAAAGCTTTTTGCATTTGATAGAGGCTGTATGACAGTATATCTTTGTCAAGTAGGCGTTGCTAATAAAAAAAATTATTATGCCTTTTGCAAAATAGTTTAGTCATACTTGGATGCACCAGTGTAAATAAATCCCTTTTATCCTTCAGATATTGGTGGAATTAATTTTTTTCTTTTGGATAGTGTCTTAGACATTAGCCAGTATTTTTCATCAATTCCTTCTGCTTAAATGCTTATTCCATATGCTTAAATTCTTAAATGTCTGTGCATATATTTAAGGAAAACAAAGAAGAAGAAAACAACCTAGTGCAGAGCATTAGGCTCTATAGCTCAAGTCAAATAGACCTGAAGTTGTTTCCAAATTTATTTATGCTGCATAATCTGATTTCTGCAAGAGGTATAGTGGCAAAGTGATTATTGGTATGGTGGGATGATTGTGAAAGATGAAGTATCAAGTAAGGAGTAAAATATTGTATTCGTACAAAGTAGTTTTATAATGTAATTAAATCCTATTTTTTCCATCTCTTAGATGATGAAGCATGCCTGGGACAATTATAGGCAATATGGATGGGGACATAATGAGCTCAAACCAATTGCCCGGAAAGGACATTCCACCAACATATTTGGTAGGCTATATTTTCCATTGTGTTTTTTTTTACTATATATTTCTGTCCATGCTATCCTCTTTGAAAGTCTACCCAAACTTCCTAGCAAATTCTGTTTTAATATGTCTTTTGAAGCGTGGATGACAGAAGTGTATCGATTATTTCAATGATACTTCAATGAATTATTTTACTAAACTGTCTTTTTGGGAGTAGTATGTTGTTGCAAAAGCTAAGCTGTGTCTATGTGCACTGTTACTTTGTGTATGCATATATGTATAAATAAAAGTTACAATGCTTTGATGATATTTTGGGATGCAATAAATATAGATCTCTGTTTAATTCATGAGAATGTGATACAAGACAAAATGCACATGCAAGATGCCAAAAAACTGCTAGTACCAAGACGAAATTTAAAGTAGCTTCTAAAAAGCCATCTGGATAAAGTGAAAGTGTTATGATATGTGACTTGTGGATCCTGAACCTGTAAGACCAAAATGAAAGAAAAAACCAACACTCAAAATACAGGAGTTTGAGGGTAGGGGCAATTTTGAAGAAATTCAAGGGATGGAGTGAGAATATTTGAGCAATGGAATGTGAATGTGAGTGTTAGAAATGGCATTTAGAATAGTATGAAACATGAGGAAGGTAAAGATCAAGAAATTGAATAGCCTTGTGTTGCGTACATGAGATCAGACTAGATGGCTTTTCTTTCTTAAAATATCAGTGATCTGCAGCAGTGCTGCTTTTTTGGTGTAAATGCATTGGGATAGAATAAGTAGAATTGTGACTGGAAAGTGGCAAGCCTATTATTGGTACTCGAACCAGAAAAGAATGCTTTTTTTTTTTTGTCCCCAATTCCACAGGACTGATGGTTCAAAAAACCTGGTTGTAACTGTTGAGGACTGAGCCCTGGAGGTCTCAAAAGTACTGCAAAACTTAAAGAGATTTTTCTTTTTTTTTCCTCTGTCCTTTCCCCCAATCTTCTTAAATGTTATCTTGAAACCATTCTTATATCTTACCAAATAAACAAGTTATTTTCTTTATATCTAAACAGTTTTTCATCAAATTTATTTGCATGATAAACTTCAACCTTAAATAAGTGCTGGACATGGAGAAGGGAGAAGAACTTGAACTAGGCACACTGCTCCTTTCCCCTGCTCCCAGCAATGGAAGGAGAGTCTGAGGTTTAAGTCTTTTTAAGTCTGCAATACTTAAAAGCAAACAAACAAAACACCTACAAATAAACCCCCACCCCTCCAACCTGTAGTACATAGAAGCTTGTTTAAATCCATAGAGAATAATTTCAGCTGCTGTACTAGCCCTGTCTGCAGTAAGGACTGCTCAGCTTTACTTGCAAGCAAACCCTTTACAGCCTGGCATTGATTGCTTTTGGTTATGTGCTGGAACCTGATTTCTTAAGCTTCACTGTGGTGTGGAAGCTGATACTGCTTTACTTCTTTTTATTCCTTTATAAAGAAAATGACTGGGTCAGAGGGAGTTGTCTGAGGAGGGAAAGACCAGCAAGTTAGCATGCTCTGGAGAAAAAAAGCATCTAGTCTGGATGAGGAGTTTGAAGAGTGAAATGGAAGAGTCTTAAGATGTGGCCGGTACTGAGCATAGTGCAAGGAGAGAGTGTGAGGCTGAAGGGAAGACCAGAGCAACAGGCTTCTGCCATGACAGACAGAAGGACATTTCCTTATGTTCCCAGAAAATATTGTGTAGTATTTTTAGATAATTTCTCTTTGCTACCTTGTATGTTGGCACTGCTTTCATTTCTACTAGAAGGATCTCTTCTTAAGCTTCCTGTGTTTAGTTGTATATTATCTCTAATCCATGGCTTTTCTTTATTTTTTTTTCAGCTGAGGAAGTCGAGTCTGACAATGAAAATCTTTAATGTTCACCTGTATGATCATGTAGTCTTTGTTGAATTTACATGCAATTCTGTTGCTTAATTTGCCAAGTATAATTTTAGATTAGCCTTGGTTTGTAACCCAGACTCTTTGAAGTGAGGTTTTTTCTTTATATGGCAGGAAAACATTTTTCTAATGTTTGTTTTTAATGTGACTGACACAACATTTTGAAGCAATTTTGAATTACAGTTTTACTCTAGTCTTTTATTTTCTTTCCATTCCTCCTCTGCTTACTTCTAACATGTCTCCTAATGAGTCTGGAGGACTTCTACTTTTTTTTTCTCCTCGGAATGCTTATTTTTTGTAGTTTTGTCATTCCTGTCTGAAAGAAATTGCAGGCTTCCTCCACATTCAAGCTTCTGATCCTCTTATTCAGCTAACTCTAGCAGCTGATTCCCTGTTTGTCCTTTTAAAATCCAGATGCTATTTTGTGCCATTTAATTTTTAGCCAAATCATGTTATGATTGTTCTGTTCAAAGCTATTTCATATGAAAAAATATTCTGAAATATGTAGTTGTCTTCAGTATATACCAAGTCTAAAACAGAACCAGCTATTGTTGATTTGGTGGGTGGTTGATGGGAAGGGGAGGAAAAATTGGTCCTTGTACCAAGGACTATCTAGGCTGTATTGTTATTGCTAGTACTTTACCAATCTCTATTACCCATAATGACACCATTCCCAGTGGTATTTGCCTTTATAGAAGCATTACATAATTCTTTTTTAAATCTGATTTAATATTTTTTAATAAAAAGCTGCTCAGCAAAACCTGTTTTAATCATTTCAAAGATGATTTGACCCAAACTATTTTCTGCCATTACTGCAGTCTGTTTTATTTCCATTTCAATTCATAGTGTGTCTGTGATCACAAAGATGGTATTGCTGGTTGACACTACAACCCTTTGCATGAATCTTTGGGAAATAGGGTTTACTGATAACTCTCAAGTGAGGTAAACACGATTCAAGTTAAAGCCATTAATCTTCCCTGTTGGACTCCCCTTTCCCTCAAAGCAGCGTTTATCTATATCTGTATCTATGCCAAGAGGAACATCAGTATTTCTAACATTGCAAGATCCAGCAGGGTTCAGACTGGGATTGGAGAAGGCGAGAAGAGGTGGCCTGGTCTGGTCTCATAAATCTTAGTTTTAAGTCATAAAAAAAATAAGGAAAGGTAATAAACTTTAAAGCAAGATTCTGCGTGCCTCACTGAAGCATGCTGCCAAGAACGTTTGTGGGCTGCCCCAATTATTAGTTTGACTCATAACAAAACCTGATGCGGTTGCTTTAGTTGACCTGCAACTAGAAACTCTTGCCAGTCTTTTCTCAGATGTCTGAGCTGGTGACTGTTAATTGTAAAGTAGAACCCGCTAAAAGTGTTGCTTATCAAACAGCATAGTCAGTTGAAATCTTGAATAGTACCTCTTCAACAGCTGGGTCACAGCATTAGTAGTATGGTGCTGCTTTGGGAAAGTATGTCTGGGAATTGGTGAGCTTTTAAAGATGTTTACACTTAGATGACACATGAAATTAATCTTTATAGTTTCTGTGTCAGTGAAACAGGGTGATAACTTGCTCCTGGTTTTGTGAAAGTTGCTTGGTTTTGAAAGGGCTGATAATCTCAAGACTTGTTATTTATCCCTACCCTATAAGACAAAATAAAGTGTAAAAGGCAAGGAAAAAGTGTAGTGGAGAGTCTCTTTCCAGTTTAAATTTTTATTTGCAGCTCTGCTGGTGGTTGTAGCAGCTAAGCTAAAAAAAGTTTACTTTTTTTGTTGGGCTGCTTAAATTGCTGAGATAATTTGGTGACAGCCGCAGGGTGTTATTGCAGAGGTGGGATTGTATGGGATCTGGGTCAAGTTCTCATTAGAACACAAAGGGTGAAGAGGAAAGGCTGATGGAAGATGATGCTTGTAAGATAATAAGCAAGCATGACAAACACTGAACTTACTTCAGAAGGTTTTTTGGGTTTAGCAAAAACCAGGGTATGTGTTGGATTCTCTTGCTGTCATGAAATCTGATTGGATTTGCTTTTGAGGATCAGAGTAACCATCTGAAATCTGCTGTTTAAATATGACTTGACCCTGCATTTGTTTGGTGACCCCTAGGTGAACACCTTATGGAAACACCATTAACATTACTAAGTCCAGATATGCTTCAGAGTTTTAAACTTTGTGTATTTGTGGCATCTTTTACTTCAATGTCTTATGAACTAATTACTGTAGTGCAAGCTTTGAGAATGCTTTATTGTGAGTTAAATTGAGCAGTTTGTACTAGTGGTTTGTATCAGTCTTCAATCTTTATTTCTCTAAAACACTGTTTATTTGAGAACCTGAATGACTTTTAAAAAAAAAAAAAGAAAAGAAAAACCCCCACAATCTTGGGCAACTCAGAACATCGTCCTCCGCAAAATTAGAAATCATGTCCGGTCATCTTACCCAATGCTTTCTGAAATCAGAGTTCTGAAATTTGTGGTGGTTTTTTTTGGTAATAGTTAACTAGCTAAGAATAAAGTGAAGATGTGCAGTTTGTCAGGTAATAAGTATGTGACAAAGTAACGATACCAACTCTTGCTAAATTGTAAACTTCCCATGTTACTAGCAGTGCATTTCTAAACCTTACATTTGGACGTATTCTGCCTAGAGATGAGCTGCATTATGTGAAGATGATCTGATAATGTGTACATACATAAACAGATATATGTCTATGATTTCAAGGGTGTGAAAAGATCTTTCGTAAGGCATAATGATATGGAGTTTTTAAGTTGTAGATGCTTGCCTGCAGACATGCCCGTTCTCATGCATGAAGATTTAATGAAACTATTACTTTGTATTTTGTCACACTAGAACTGTCTCATGAATCTATAGTGCTTCATGCCTATCTTGTTCTCTTGTCTCATGTGCAATGGTCAATTTAATCTGTGATGTCTGCAGTGTCTGTCTTGGGATGTTGTGATCTGGGAGGAAGGGAAAATTGTCAATGAAGTCACATTGTGGGTATGTTTATTACCTGGTAGAGTCTCAAGGCTGCAATGCAGTGCCATATCTTTTTCCCTAACACATGACCAAATACAGCTGTTATCTCTTTTATGTGGGATTTTTGTCTGGCCTGTTCAG